GACATGTAGAAGACTTCTGGAAAGTGTTACATGTTCTCTAGGAAAGAGGGAGAGAGAAAGCCTGATGGAAGAAAAGTGTTATTAACACTGTGCAGAATTATCTCCATTGCCATGACAACAAATCTTATTATATATTTTTTTCTTTTTAACCATATTCATGAAGGTTTTTTTGTTAAATCGATGATGAAAGCTTCATTCCTTATTGCTGCCTTGATAGGTGGAAAGGCAGTTTTAATATCACTTTTGTAGCTACATATTGCCATTACATTATTGGGTCTATTACTAGGTAATCAAGTATTTTCATTTAGTTTTGAGAGTTCCTTGGATAAAGTCTTCAGACATGTCAGAGGATATACAATAGCTAGCACCTTTTCACAGGTGGTGTTCATCAGTGGTCTTAGTTAATGGGTAAAGTTTCAGTTTTCCACAGTTGACTTTTGGCACGAATAAAAGCTTTCCAAAGTCCCCTGCTCTTCCAAAGGTCAGGGGTCAGTAAGAAAATGCACCTGATGGCACCCAGGTACCCCTTATTCTTAATGAATTAATTGGTCTGGTGGGTACCACATTACTGAGAAATGAAATATTTCATGAAGACTTTGACTTGCCCAGTAGCTCCAAAGCTATGCATTTATTCCTCTCTCTCCACCCTCAAGAACAACAATGGCTGGGAACAAAAACATCTACAGCAGGAAAGGTTAAACTGTCACCTTGAGAGTTAACTGCTCAGCTAGGTCAGCCTAACCTCTCAGTTCATTTCCCCCCTCATCTGTTCTGAAATAACTTGTGTCCTCTGCATTCATTCATACCTTTATACACTTATATGGCACACATTACTTCTTTTACACCTAGACAATACTGTAGGTGGTACATACAAGGGTAATCCAGACACACTAGTTCCCTCAAGAGATTTTCAACCTAGTGTGGAAGAAGCCAAGAAAACATTATTTGTCATTCTTGGAAGTAGTCACAGTAATTGACAGGGGTTTGGGGGGGGTGAATGCTGAGGAATTCTGTGAGCGACGGTAGAGCACATGGTCCCTGCCTTGTAAGAGAGACTTGATTAGGAGTGTCTGCAGGTGACAGCGTTGAAGCTAAGGTCAGCAGCACTCAAGGGTACAGCTCAGTTTAAGGGGTAGAGGATGAAAGTCAGGACTGGCGCTGAAAACGGTGACTCCCGACACTGAAGAAGGCTAAGGGGAGGTGAGGCTGGACAGATACGCAGCCGTTACCTAACAGAGACCTGTAAGCATGTCAAGAAGCAGGACTCTTTCCTGAGGACTGTGGGAGCCTCAATCCTAAGTCTAGAGAGTACGAGGATTCTTATGTCCTGCTGGCTAGACAGTGTATCCATGGGAGGCAAAGTGCAGAAAGAAAGAAATTAGGAGGCTGTGGCCCTAGAGGAATAAGGTGGTCCCTGGAGGAAAGAGGAAGCAGATAAAGGCAGTCTGATTAGATATGGCTCAGCAGTTAAGATGCAGTATAGCAGAGTCTAATACGGTGGGCCAGAGGTGGAAGTGTTAGGTCAGTGTATTGGTAGACAGCACAAAGGAAATAAAAATGGGCTCTAGTGACTCACCAAATGAGTCCGCTCATTCCCAAGTGCTGTGCTGTGGAAAGTGATCCATCTCCAACTCTGAGATTTCTTGGATTTTTAGGAGGTCTGCCCAGCAGATCTGCAGCTTAAGGCTTTACGGTGGGCCTTTCATGCATCCTTCGGTTATCGGGACATGAGCCATCACACCTGGGCCACCTGCTAAACCTGTCTGCAGTTATTTGAGTATCTTTGTTGGAATCCTTGTTAAAGCTTTCTGCAGGTTTTCTTCTGTTGACTATTAGAGTATTATTTATGGCTTCCTATCCTTCGAGGCTATTCTTTGTGTGTTAGGAAAACAGTATAATTGGGTGGGGATGAGGCTGAGTAGTACAGACTGGGGAGGGCGGTGAAAAGAAGTCTATTTCCAGTTTGCACTAATGGAGCCAGGTTGGTCAGTTGTTTTATGGGACACAGCGTGGTCAAGCAGGCTGTAAGAAATCGGTCACAGTTTAGGGGATATGTTCTTGCAAGATAAATAAAAATCGTCTAAAGTATCAGACCAAACTCTCATTTTTCATCTCTCTGTTTCACGCTCTTCTCTCCCAGCCCAGACTAATCAAAAGAAGTCCCTTCCGCTCCCAACTTCTCTGTGTACATTTCCCCCAGATCTGGTATTCATATGAACAATGTGGTTTATTTATATTTCAGCACCAAATTGGAAAGATGACATCATTCATTTACAGTCTTCATCCCATGACATGCCTACTCTCCAACACCTCATTTCAGCAGACACATTTAGGACGGCATACAGCATCTTGTTTAGCCTGTGCATTCTTTTATGGGATATATAGTTCAAAGGTAGGGAGCTTTAGGGTTGTCGTTGGTAAGAAAATAATCTCAGGAGCTTCCCTAAAGAATAAGGACGTTACAATGTTTACAATAGCAGCGTTATTATTGGGTCATTTGGGTTCCGTCATTCATTCTTGGGTGTGACTTTTCCTTTTCCACAGATCTCATGGCTCCCTTCAGACCCTCACAATTCTATGTGGAAGAAACTGTTCCAGATTTATTCATTCATGAGTTCAAAAGTACAATCTCCTGTGACAACCCTGGAATTTTAGGTGTGAACGCTGAACTTTAGCATCTCGTGTCTAAGGATGAAGGGTTGAGGAGAGTCTTGGTCCACAAGGGCTCTACTACCCTGCTCTTTCTCACAAGCCTAACTTGTCCATTGGGTCTTCTGACACATTAAGTGGACAACTGAGGAGTGGAATTGCTATCAGCTGCCAAAGGTTGCCTGGGATTTTTTTAATTTAATTTTTAAAGTGGACTGTTCCCTATATTTTTATTGTTTTATCATGTATGTGCATTTTTTTACATTTGCTTTGGGACCTTTCAAATATTGTACACAGCTTAAAAGATGGAGTGAATAAATCATGAGGTGTCCTTTGGTAGAACTGGAACATGAGGTGTTTCCAAAACTTAACAGACCCAAAGTATTTGTGGGAAAGCTGTTTCTACCTGTTCAGCTGTTTGCCTTTTCTGCTAGCAACAAGACAAGGAAAAGGGCCTACAGACTGATTTTTGAAGACCCAGAAAGCTCCAGGTCTTTTGTCAAGAAATGGGCTCTTGGGACTGAAATCCATGTCTCCCTTTGCTACCTGCCAAATTAGACTGTAATAATTCCTCCCAGGAAAGTTTTCTGGATATGGTTGTACATGAAAAATACTGTGAGAATGAACTGCATTTGGTCCAAAATTCCCATTATATTAGAGAATTATTTATACTACGCAATAAAACTCTGATTGGTTGGAAGCCTTTCCAGCCACAGACTTCCGACTCTCTGAAAGTCCTGATGGTTCACTGTCACCTTAAACCACTGGGGGCTGTGATGGCAACCCGCACTGTGCCCTCAACTCTCAGTGACCCTCCCTACCAAGGAAAGACATGCAGCTCCAGTCTAACATGGCAGTGTCCGTTCTTCTTCCAGTGTCTGATGAAGGTCTACCTTTATGGGCCCCATGCTAGACCCTGGGGAGAGGTAAATGAAAGAGACAGCCTCAAGATCTAATGATAGATGGAGAACTATTTAGAGGCAGGAGACCTGTGCCCCCAAGTCTCAAGGGCATAGGAAAAGCTCGTAGAGAGGGCTGGGAATGTACCTCAGTGGTAGAAAACGTGCTTAGCCTTGGGTTCAATCTGGAGCCATACTAAAAATAAAAAAGGAAGCTTAGAAGGAAGGGAGGAAGGGAGGGAGGGAGAAGGAGGAAGGGAAGAAAGGAAGGGAAGGAGGGAGGGAGGGAGGGAAGGAAAGAAGAAAGGAAGGAAGCATCAGTAAGAAAGAAAGATAAGACTAGACTACTAGAGAAAATACTGTGAATTAACGAGACCCAGAAATAGGGACATTGTAGGCAAAGAAAAACCGCATAGGCAAAGAAGAAATTTCTTACATCAGCAATAATGGCAGTAATAGTTCCTGACCCACACCTGCTCCTCACAGCAATCCCAGGAACCTGCCCCTCACAGCAATCCCAGGAAGGCAGACTGGCGACTACTGTTTAAGATATAGGGAAATTGAGACTTATGAAGACTTGGCTGACCTAAGACATCCTTATCAGCAGAGAGATGAAGCAATCCTTGAACCTGGGCATTCGTACCCTCAGTTCCGTACTCTGGCTTTCTAGGCTGGCTCGTTTCTTCTGCTCTTTCCATGGTCTCTAAGCATTGTTTTAGTTTTTGCAACCTTGTTAAGTCAGTTCATCCCCGCTCAATTTCTTGCCCTGCATGATAAAGTAGATACAGTCCTATTGCCCTCAAGACTTACTCCGGACACCTAATCACCTGTATAACATACACCGTGGGGTGTAAATTAAAGGTAGTCCAGCTGTCTTCCACCTACTTTGTACCTTTTGCTCAATTCCAAACCCCGCCCCACCAAAAAAGCCCAGTTCTGTACAAAAGTTGTAGAAAGCCCTTTCCCAAAAAGACATCATGGCAGTGAACCATCTCCATCAGTGTTTTTCTGCATTGTCTTGTGAGAGCATTGTCTGTCTGTCCCTCTGTGTTTCTACCTAGCCCTCTCCTGGCATTCCTTCTAGGGCTTCTCTCTGGCTTGCTCTAGTTATAGGGTGTAAGGGATGACACTTTGTGATTGCAAGTTCACTAGGGATCTCTGGGATTGCTTGATAATGTAAAACAGAGCATCTTAGGATATATCCAGTCCCCCCTTTAAATCACGGGTAAGTTCACTGACAGGTGCAGCTCTAACATGGGCAACTTCAAGAATGGGACAAAACCTCTTTCACCAAAGCTAGTGGTATAGTTCATTAAGTTTCAGCATGACTAGAAATGAGAAGTTCTGGATTAGGATCAAGGAAAGCCTGTAGGTTCTGTCACTATGCCTTTAGTCTGTTGGGCCTGTCGTGTAGCTCCTGATGGAATCTTCCCTGGTTTTCCTCCTGTACAGACGCAGAACAGAATGAAACTGATGGCAGACAGCTATGATGAAGACCATCACCATTACCACCACCACCACCACCACCACCACCACCGATCTCCTGGGAGGTCACAGCATTCCAACCACAGGCCCTCTCCAGACCAGGTCAGTTTCATTGCTGCTTACCTCTAGGAGCCCTCTTACCCTATGGTTATTTTAAGATAAAATAAATAATCCTCAAGAAATAATAAACAGCATAAAGTGATACGTTCTTTGAACTGAAACTAATAGCTTTGGTATTTATTTCCGTCACTCAGGGAGTCTAAATGTTTTCCTTTCTCCTTCCTCTTTAAGGTTTTGTCTTTGCTTGTTCGTGTTATGCGTTTTCTGTCTTCCCCTCCTTTCTTCTTCCATAGATACGCAATCGAATGCTGGCTCATATCTAATGACTGGTTACTTTGGAATGTCTCTTTCCAAATTTTAAAAGCAAGCACTTTGTTTCCATGAGCCTGGCAACCAGAGAAGCCTTGAGTTTGCTGAGCACTCCCCTAGAAAATTCTTCAGTGATGCAAATTAATGGCAGGGTGAAACATCGAAAGAGAAATCCGTTTGTTGACATTTTAGCCAGTGAAGTCTAGGAGTCTGGTTTATTTGGTTTGGACCCCATCTTCTCTCTTTATTAAGTAAAACAAGTGGAAAAGAATGCCTGCAGTTTTCAACTGTACACACTCACCCACTACATGCAAAACCTATAGCATCTAGTATTCAAACTCCTGAAAGGCAAATCATATGCAAATTAGGAAAGAAAATGCAAACAATCAGGGCAATAGCATCAGTATTAGTTTTTCTTCCTTTACTATACTAGGAGCTTTTTTATTCTGTGAATAGAATAGCTTGTACAATAAATTCCAGTAGAGGTGGGGTATTAACCAAGGCAGAACCCATCTGTGTAAGTGTGGTCTCCAGCACTGGCTGGGAGCACATGGTAGCCTTAGCTGTGTGGAGGGAAAGCCATTGTATGCTGCTGGAGGGAGTGTTCATTTTCTTCCCGAGACTCTTTTCAGATGGCTCCCTTCATTCATGTCACATTACTAGCATCCCAGAGAAGTTAAGTTCTAGTCTTTAGAATGCTTTACTGGTTGTAAAACTCCAGGGGGAGCTAGTTATATAGGACACAACATCGAGAGCCTGACCTCTGTACCCCTGAAGATTTTGCCCTCAGAGACCCAAGTAGTGCTGCAGAAGATGTCCCCACAGGCTGTGTCCAGAAAGCACCAGTTCATTGATTTCAGCCCTCTGAAACAGCTTTTGGGGTTGGTGACCGAGAAAGTAGAGAGATTAATTGTGTGCCATTACCTGATGTCTTTGATTTTCTTTGGTTTTCTTTATTCAGTATTTTGACACTTTCTCCACCTGCCCACACCTGCGCACTCCTGCATCTCTGGGGTCGCGTTGTCCTTGGTTCCAGCCCCTTGGCACACTGCCTGACTTTTGTTCCTTGACATTCTCCCATGAAGGGTTAAAGTGAGGCTCATTGGTGGGAGGCCAGCAGGTGTCTCTGAACCATGCATGCCAGAAGGCCACGCTGGCTTTCCCTCTGCCCCAGGGTCAAGGGAGCAGAGAGTCCTAGAAGGACAGCAAGAAGACCTGGGGACCAAATCAGAAGAATGGGCACATGAGGACCTGCTAAGATAAAAGAGACACACACTCTAACATGCCTTGTGAAGTGGTCACCATATCAAATCTGTCTGCTTTCTGAACTTTTATTTCTCACAAAACATGGCCTCCTGATGCTTCCTCACAGACGGGTCATCACCAGGTGGAGTGCCTTGCCTGCTCAGTTGGCCTCTCCTGTGTGTCCTCATCACTAGAGGTTACCACAGGGTAGTAGTGATTGTCCTGGAACAGCATCTGGCTGAGACATGTCCTTGGGACCTGTGACACATCGTTGTCACTGATGCAGTCAATGAAAGCTCTAGACAGCTCTTGGACACAGAGATACGTAGCTGCACTTCTCCAGAGGGAATCCCATGTCCTAGGGGAAGCCACCTGACTGAATTCTGGTTGCTGGTAGTTTGCTCTGTGGAGAATAGACCACATGCCAATGCTACACAGAGCCTAGGGTGCAACCTGTAAGCACCACAGAGCCCTGCCTTCAGGGTGTTTGCTCTCCTGTCCTAGATAACAGTCCCTTAGTGTCTACTCAGCTCTTCTCTGGGTCATGTCAGTTAGAACAAGACAGATGAAAGGCAGTTATGAGATCATTAGAGGCCATGGTTTCTGAGCTTACATTATAGTGGAGTTCATGGTAAAAAAGTAAAGTAGCCTTGGCCAGGAAGATATTTTATGGAGTTACATTGGAATTGCCAAAGCTGTCAAGTTCTATTGTTTCACCCTTTCAGTGAGCAAAGGAGAACTAATCAGGGACCCCTGGCACGAGGTTAGGTTAACTCCAGTGGTGTGGTGGGAGGACTTGATCTCCTGAGCCAGATGTCCTTTTAGACTAGGGCTCCCAGATTTAGGACATGGTGCCTTCCCATGTACTGGACTAACCAACTAGATATCAACATAGTAAGTCTAGGAAGTCTTTTCCAACTCTGTGCATGATGTACAAGCCTTGTATGCTAATGCCTATGCAATGGAGCCACTTAAGGGAAAGGAAGAGCCCTAAATCAGTATGTTGCACCACCAGAGTTTTAATAGACATAATGTGGATGGATTCCATTTGGGTGTCCACAGTGTTCCAAGTTAGCTGAGCTGACTTAGAGGGGAAAGGTTCCTTCAGGGATTCCTCCCCCCTTTGCTATGAGTCTTCCAGGCTTGGACTTCTTGTAGCACTCAGTGTAAACCAACCCCGTCTTCTGGACAAGCAGGCACAAAATGTTGCCACTTCTTTCTGAAGTTTATTAAGAGATCAGAACACATGAAAATGAGGAACTATGGAAAAATCAGTCATTTTGCTCCATTTCCAGAGAAATTCCTTTGTCCTTAGGACAGGAGTGTTACCAGCACTTACAGAAGTAGATTCTTTTTCCATTTCTTCTCTTCCCCTTTATCCTTTTGATTTCTCCTTGATAGAAACTGAATGTAAGTATTATAAGTCTAGACTCACATTTCCCAAAGTAACTTTTAGGACATTAGTCCCATGAGGGAAATCTTGAGACAAGGATTGGGTGGGCAAAGATTTTGGGGAAGTGCTGCATATTTAACTCTGTCATCTAGCATCCCAGTACAAGTAGCAGATCAAAGGATCTAAACCTGTATGTATGAAAGCAAGCTCTCCAATTTTATTTAATCCAGCATTTCCCAGAGTTATTTGATCATGGATGTTTTTTTCTTTCCTAGTAACATCTGCGCTTTGAGAAATAGTATTCTCAGAGTATCAGGTGAATAAAAAGAGAGGCTGCCTAGTTTAAAACAAAGGGGATGCGGTCTCCAGCTGTGCGTCCTTGGGGAGGTGGAGATTCTAGGCTATAATGCAACCACCTCTCCCAGCATTTCCAGGGGAGCAAAAGGTCTCCTAAGAATCCAGCAGATCTGAGCTAAGGGAGCCATTCATGATGGGGGCTCAGGAAATCAAGGATAGTGCTAAATACAAAGCCACCTTGAGGGATTACACGGGACTATGAAGAGAGGATGAGGAGGGGCTTGGAGATTTGGAGAAGTGGCCAAGATGCCATGGTAGTGCTTCAGACAGATCATCCAGCCTCTACCTGGGAAAGGAGCAGTTAAGACCTAGAGACTGATGACTCCAGAATGACTATAGCCATCGAATACGCCCCAATAAGCCCCAATAGGACATCCCAACAAAGCCAGGCAATGATGGAGAAAGACCTTCAAGCTGAGAAAATGGTACAAGGTACACAGCAGATATTTCCTGTGACATAACAAATTCCAAAGTAAATGGGATATCCTAGAGATGCATTAGTGATACAGTTTATATAGAGGTTACCAAGATGGATTTCACAAAGCCAAGTGGAAACACAGTTTTTCCTAAATGCCCTGTACCCGACATTGTCACTTTCCTTTGTTATTTCCTTTAGATGGAACCTTTCTGTGCCTTAAAGCCTATCAGTGATACAAAGTCTTTCTACTTTGCTTTCTATAACTTCTACTTTCCTAGGAAAAATCATATTTTAGTAAGCTCTGTCCATTGCCTCCCAAGTTTTCACTAACCTCATTATGGACAGCGTTTCAAGGTAGAGTGACACACCCAGGCCAAGTAATGCCAGGCCAGTTCAGGCTGCCCCTTGTATGTCTTGGAATGACATTTCTATACTGAGTATTGGTCTGGGGGAATGGGTTTTTAAGGGCCTAGATCTTGCTACTTTCTTATGCAAAATGCTTACTTGTTAAGGTGCACAGATTCTAGGATGGTGGTTCAGGTACAAAAACTGAACATTTTGGCAGACTTGGAGTAGGCGGCACCTTTCACAAACCAGGAGAAAACTTTTCCGTCTTCTCTTCCCTCCCTCGCTGAATGGAAATGCCCAAGCTCAGAATGCATTTTGCCACCTTTACGATTTCCAGATCTTTTAAAAACTTTAAATTTCACACTTTACTTGCAGAAATAATACTTTCTAAGGAAAGCTATAGAGTCCAGGATTGTGGATATAATAATTACTAGAATTAGAGAAAAGGAGCTTCAGAGGTGACTCAAGAGGTTAAGGACATATTCTGCCCTTACAGAGAACCTGAGTTTGGGTCCCAACACCCATGTTGGGCAGCTCACAACTGCCTATAACTCCAGGTCCAGGAGATTCAATGCTCTCCTGTGTCCTCCACAGGCACTCACACAACTGCCATTAACACAGACACATAAATAAAATAATAAAAGTAAATATTAAAAATAATTGCAGAAAAGTGCGATTGAATTAAATATTGATGTGTTTTGTTACGTACGGTGAAACACAGTACAGTGAAACACATTTACCACTGTCTTCCTTCCATAAATGTCTGTTGATGAACTGTTCCCCTAGTATGTATGGGAAATGCAGATGAGAGTCCCTGTTGTACAGATAAATAACTGGTATTTAGAGAGGTTATTTATGGTCTGAAAACATATAACTGGGGTGCGGTGATGGTTCAGTGGTTGAGAGCATTTGCTATGCTTCCAGAGGACCTGTGTTTGGTTCTCAGTACCCATATCAAGTGGCTTACAATCA